TTTTCCCCTGCTCAGTTTCCCCGTGAGTTTAATAAAACATTTATAGAACAATTAAGGTCTGTTTGGTGTAGTTTGGTGTAGTTTGTTGTAACTTTTACTTTTTTTTACTGTTTATGAGTGACAAATTTAAATTTTTATTGGAGAGAAAATTTAAAAGTTGCTTTTAGAGATAAAAAAAATGAATAAAAATGAAGTTTATGAAAGTTTGAATTTGAAACTTTTGATCTTTTATTATTTAAAATTTTTTTAAAATTAAAAAAAATTTAAAAATATTGTAAGGATAGGTCCGAGGTCCCTAACCTCGGACATATGACAGTAATTCCCTTATAACTGAAGTGAAGGATAAATCCAAAGCTTCCCGCTCAAACAGCTGCATGACAGTGACAATAAGCATGACCGCACCTGATTCTTAACGATGAGCTGCACAGTAGTTATGATGGACATCCCTACATATGAATATCTCTCAAATTCCCGGTCCCGAAATAACCGTCTGGATAGGCACGTCAGGCTCCGATTGTCTTGCTTGGCATGCTACGTGGGTTCCTCACTGGAGCCTATAAATACCCCCCATGGGCCACGTCAAAAGGTAATTGAAACCAACCCTAAGCTCCTTTGATCTCCACCTTAAAGGTAGCCCCGATTATTGCTGACTTAAGCATCGGAGTGTCTACCCCGAGATCCATCTCGGGGCTTTGCAGGTTAACTCGGAGTGCAGACGTGGACTGAAGAAGGACTTCTGGTTTGGTGCAATTACATTTGGCGCCATCTGTGGGAATTCGAATTGAAAGCTTTCTTGTTGCTCTTTCATCATGGTTAACACTCGATCAGTCCGAGCTGGAAACCCATCTCTGCCTCTTGGACAAGGTCAACTCCCCAACAACATTCCACCTCAACTCCTAACTCAGCTTCCACCTTAGATCCCAAATATGTTCCCTCCTGTTGATCATGCAGAATGAGGAGATGAAAACCAACCTCATACCTCAGCTCACAACTTAACTTCCACCGCCAACCAAGATGTAGTTGCAGCTCAGCTTGTTGCCATGCAACAACAGTTTGGTGTTTTTCAGCTGGTATTAGCTCAGCTCTTAGCTCGGAACAATCCTGGTGATCCCCTCATTAATTTACTCAACCCTGCTCAACAACCCCCAACTCCACAGCAAAACCCTCAACCAGTTCAGCATGCCCCTGCTCTTAGTGAATCTCAGGGTCAATCTCACATAGCACCAGCTCAACAACCCCTCCCTGATGATGTCACTCAACGTCTGGACAGTTTAGAAAAGTTGGTAGCTGAACAGCGAGGCGCCCACCTCCACATCATACTACTGACTCCATGCCCCATCCTCTGAACACCAACATCACACTGGAACCCTACCCCACTGGCTTCAAGATACCACAACTTGAGACTTATGATGGGACGAAGGATCCCGATGATCACTTACATGCTTTCTACTCTTGTATGCAAGCCCAGAACGCCTCTGACGCGTTGATGTGCAAAATCTTTCCCTCTACTCTCCGAGGTAATGCTCGAACTTGGTATTACAGTCTACCTCCGAGGTCAATCAGTTCTTATACAGAAATGGCATCTGCCTTTGCCACAAAGTTTTCCAGTAGAAGGTTGATCAGGAAAACTACTTATGAGCTGATGCGAGTTAAATAGAGGGACGGAGAATCTCTGAAGAATTTTATGACCAGATTCAATGATGTAGTACTGGAGGTGAGCTCCTTCGAATAGGCTGTGGGAATTGCAGCTGTGATATCGGGTCTTAAACATGACAGATTCAGAGATAGTTTAATCAAACACCCTGCCACTACCTTTAGCGAGGTGAATGATAGGTCTCTGAAATTTATAACTGCTGAGGAATATGCACTGTCGCAGAACCCAACTCCCTCTAAGAACCAAAACCCAGACTGGAGAGATAAGAATTCGAGTAGGAAACGGATGAGAGTAGCACAGAACCGAGGTCCAATGTCGACCTCCACACCGAGATTCGAAAGACCGAAATCAGCACCCCCACAACAATCTACAGGTAAACCTCTGGTTAATTGGACTCCTTTTAATTTGCCAAGGTCACAGATTTTCTTGCAAATCAAGAATAAGATGAATTTAAGGCGTCCTGGCCCAATGAGAACTGTTGCTGCTAGCCGAAACCATTCTAGATATTGTGATTTTCATCAAGATCATGGTCATATAACATAACAGTGCAACAGTTTGAGGTCCGAGCTGGAAAGTCTTGCCCAGAAGGGAATGTTGAATGAGTACATTCACAGAGCTCAGCAGCCGAGATTTGTCAGAGAACAGGGGCCACAGCCCCAAGGAAACCGCAATCCACCAAACAGGCAAGGAGTAGGGCATCAACAAGCCCCACCTCCACTTCCACCACCAGCCAGAATTATACACATGATTACGGGAGGCCTAAAAGCAGGTGGACTGAGCTCTAAACAGAGAAGGTTAAATGCTTAATTTGGTCCCTTAACTTTAAGAAATGAACATTTTTGATTCCTCAACAATTTTTTGCACTTTTTTGATCCCTCAACTATATGAAATGCACTCCGTTAGTCCTTCTGTTAATTTGGACCGTTAACATTGCTTAGGTGGCATTTTTTATATTTTTTTTGATGATGTGGAGAGCAAAACTTAAAAAAGTAATAACATGGCAAAAACTTTTGCCATGTCACATGCTACCTGGCGAAAACACACCAAATGGGTCCCACATCACCACTAACAATTGCAATCGGTTATGAAGTTCAACGGAATCCGGCAAATCTGGGTTCGATGTAATCCAACAAATAGGTTCCATCGAACCCAGCTCAATTCAATGAACTCAATTGTTCAAAAATTACTCGCAACAACCTGTAATTTGAATAATCTCTTGGCAAACAATCATATAAACACAAAAAAAAAAAAAAA